AGGGCCACGCTGCAGACACAGCTCCAGCCGCTGCCCACCAGCGCTCCCCAAGCTCTGCGTGGTGGTGGTGAGGTAAACGTGGGTCACCCTGCACGTGTGTCCTAGGTGAGGAGTGTCACACAGACACCTTGTCACCAAGCCCTGAGCCGATCAAGTCCATGGATTAGACAGAGACTGTGAAACAAAGACCCACCAAGGCAGAAGGAAATCACCTTCTCACGCAAGGAGGAGCGTTTTGGAGAAAGGGAATTTGCCCACAGAGCAGCGAGCACTGGATGTGCAGTACATCAGCGTTGTTACGGGTTCCCACCATTCAGGTCCTCCACATCTGCTGACCAGATTTCATCCCTATGTCTCAGCATCTCCACAGGAAAAGGGAATGATGCTACAGCACCCCTAAGCAACTGCCACAGGATCCCTTCTAAAGCAGCTTTTGGGCACCAAATGGAAGATGCAGCTGGTACATAAGCCATGCACATCACTGACAGCCCAGGGGTGCAGGAAAGTACCCAGCTGTGCAACGTGCAAGAGGCTGTCCCCAAGTCAAAGATGCTTGCAAGTGGTTCCTGACATGACCAGCCCGCATGTGCTCTGGGTTTGAGGGAAAAACGGAGCTCTGAGGCAGAGCCCTGCCTCCTTAGAACATCCCAGCACCAAGTCCCTGGCATGGGAAGATCCTGAAGAAGCAGCACCACCACCACCCAAGGATGCAGTGCAGCAAGCTGGACGCTTGCTTGGCTGTGCTACGCTGCAGTGCTCTGAACAAGGGCTGGTGCGCCCAACGGCTCGTCTATTTTTTTCCGCATTCTCTATCAGTTGGTCTAACAAAAGCAATTACCCCCACAACCTTGCCCAATTTACCATGACATAGCCTCCCTTGGGAGCAGTGAGGGGAAAATGAGAGTGAAAGGCGGTGATTGGGGCAATCAGAGCAGCTACGACACGGATGCCACAGAGCAGGGTCTGCACCTGCAGTGCTGTGAAGTAGCAAGGTGCCAGCTCGACCTGGTGGGGCTGTACAGCACCTCGTGCAGCTGGGCTGCAGGGGCTGCCGCAGTACTGGAGGGTAGCAAGGGCTGTTGTGGAACTACCAGGGGGGAATGGAATGTATAGGTGCCGCGCAGTAGCCCCTACACATGCGGTAAAGCCTGGCTGTGCCCCACCTGTGCCCATCGGGGCAAACCTGCCCTTATCAGACTTCTTAGAGCCAGCCTACAGCGGGCAGCAGCGGCTGCACGGGAGCGGCTTCCAAAACCCCTCTCGG